CTGCTCTGTGAGGAGTACTTCCAGGGTGTCTTCCCGTGTCCCCTCTGCAGACGGGGAGGCCGAGGCCAGGAGTTCCAGGGTCCGTCAACACAGTGCTAGGACCTGACCTGGGTGGTTGGGGTCTGGGCTGGGGGCACCCGGGCTGGGGTCTGAGGATGGTCCCAAAGGTGGGCCAGAGGAGAGGGCAGAGGTGGCCCCAGGGAAGGAACGGCAGGCAGAGCCCAGCAAAGTGGTGTCTATTCCAAACACTGGGCTCCCCTGTGCCCGCAACCTGGCCCCGCGCCACAGCCCAGTGGTCCTCCGTGAGGAGAAGGGGCCCCCTCGGGCGTAGCCGCCCCCCCCCCCGCCCCGTGAACTGGGGAGGGGACCGTAGTCACAGGTCTTGGGGTTGGCAGATCTGGGTGGTAACAGGTGGTCTGGGTTGGGATCACCCTCCATTCCCACCACTGCCAGTGGAGATGGCCTGGGCCGGGCTCCAGGGTCCCGTCTGGCTGCGCTGGGCTCAGCTCCTTTTGGGACCCCCTCTCCACCCTCTGGTTTGGGCCTCGATGCTCCTACTACATCTTCCTTTGCTGTTTGGCATCTCTTCTGGCCAAGGGTCCCGACGGCCAATGCCAGCTGGCCATGCCCGCGTTCCCATGGCCCACCCCGGGGGGGGGGCGGTTTCCAAGCTGCAGGGGGTTGGGGGGTGATGTTAGGAGGGAGCAGCGGCCACCAGGCGGGCTGGCTGCAGGCCAGGACTTGGCTAAGGGCTTGGGACACAAATAGTCTCCTGGGCAGAGAGGAGGCTTCCAGCAGCCTCGGGGACAGAGGCCAGGAGCTTCAGCCAAGCTGCTGGGCCAGAGTTCACGGAGGCCCCTGCCTGCCCCCACTGGCTCCTCACCCCACCCCTACTGGCCCCACACCTTTGGGAAAGGTTGCAAAATCCTGGCTGGCTTTGCTGGCTCCTTCCCCCGGCAGGGCAGGTGAGAGGCGGCAGGGCAGGTGAGAGGCGAGAGGGGAAAAGGCCTGCGCGGGGACCACGCCCCAGACAGGGCCTGCCCCACTGCTGGAGCTCTCCTCCTAGCCAGGTCTGCTGGGGTTGGGGATGACACTGGGGGCACTCCTGGGGCCCAGCGGGGTGAGGGCAGGGTGGCTGGGGGCTCTGGGTGTTGAACTGCGGACAGTGGGTGGTGGTGGATGCCGGATGCAAGGCTGGTTGTCTAGGGCGCCATAGAACCGGGCAGCACAGGCTGGGGAGGTGTCGGGCCCAGCAGGAAGCTGAGGCTGGAGGGTCTTGGGGTGCTAGCTGTGACTGAGGGGATGGCACTGACCTCGATGGCCCAGAGGAGCCACGGATGGTCCTAGCAGGACAGTGATGACTGACAATTGGAGGCGCAGACAGGGAGCTGGGAGGAGGTAGGGAGCAGAGAAAGGGCCGTGGGAAGAAGACAGGTGGGCTGGGGGCGAAGATGAGCTTGGGGCAGGTGGGGGGCAGCCGGATGGCCAGGGCATTGGGGGCCTCAGAGGCTTTGGCCACTGCGTGGGGACGTGGGTGGACAAGAACCTGAGAGAAGAGAGAAAAGGGCTCAGGATGGGCCGGGGGTGCCAGGGGCAGGGCAGGCAGGGCAGGCAGGGCCCCAAGAAACCAACAGGGGCTGGAAGCCTGAGGGAGCCTGAGGGAAAGAGCCCTCGAGGTGTGCCCCCTCACCTCGCACTCCCTGTCTGTGACTTCCCTGCCCCGGCTCAATGTGAGTGTGTGGGATGCTGTGTGGGCATATGTGTTGGTGTTTGAGTGGGTGTGGGCGTGTGTGTACTTGTGTGTGTGCTTGTGGTGTGTGTGCGTGAGCAGATGCATGTGTGCACGTGTCGGCACTCGTGTGAGTGGGTGTGGGCGTGAATGCGCGTGTGACTGTGTGTGTCGGTCAGTGTGGGAATGCTCTGTGAGTGGGTACGAGTGTGTGTGCAGGTGCGTGCATGCACACGTATCTGTGTGTGCCTGTTAGTATGTGGGATGGTGTGTATGCAAATGTGAGGAGGCATGGATATGCACAGACGTACGAGTGTTTGTGTATGATGGTCCATAAAGGGTGTGAGTGTGTGAGCCGGTGCTTGCATGCACACTTGTGTGAGTGGGTATGTGGGCTGATGTGTGTGCAGGTGTGTGAATATACAACTGTTTCTGAGCATGTGATCATCTGTGGGTGGGAAATGTGTCTGGATGTGTCTGCGACTGTGTGTGTACGCACCCGTGTGAGTGTGGGAGACAGAGCGTGAGGGGTCTGGGTCCCAGCCTCCTCTGCGGAGGCCAGCCTGGCTCCAGTCACCATGGCAACAGTGCCGGCCCTCCCCACCAGCAGGACAGGGTGACCTGGTGGGGCTGAGGCTCCCACATCCATGGAACCCATCACAGGCAGGGCAGCCTCTGTGTCCAGGCCAGGCGGAAGTGGCTGGCAGGGCAGCCTCCTCGGGTAGGATCCAGCCTATGCCCCCTGCCTATCCTCGGGAAATACTCGCTTGGAGACAGGACCACAGAGGCCCCTGGCCTTGGTGGGAGATGCCCCGAAGCAGGCTGGCCCAGTAGACGGAGGCACCCACACTCACACCTACCTGAGCCCCAGGGCACCCTGGGAGGGTAATGGGGAGAGCAAGGCCCTGGGCAGGCCCTCTGCTTTCAGTGCGGGGGCAGGATAAGGGTCCAGGTGTCTTGGCCCCTGAGGAGCTGAGCTCTCTCCCGGCCAGCATCTCTCTGTGTGTGACCCATGGCCGCAGAGGATGCCCTCTGCAGGGGTGGCCCTGGCTGTGCTGCCTGTGGTGGGCCGGCCAGAGTTGCCGACAGGCGCCAGGCCTGCCCACTGGGGCTCAGAGCTATTTTTAAGGCCAGGCCGGATGGGCCTTCCAGGAACCAGGAAAAAACAGGCAGGGACTGGTATCCTGCTGAGGGCTTGGCTGGGGAGGGGGACTGGCAGTGACTGGACCTGTGGGAGTGGGGTGGCCTGGGGTTAGCTGTCCAGGGAGAGGGTAGAGTCTGGCCCACCTGTACAAGAAGGCAGGCAGGTAGGCCGTCTCACAGAGCCGGCCAAGCCAAGATGGGGTGGCCAGCCGCCTGCAGAGTGGGGACAGGGTGAGGGGGGCAGCAGCAGCCATTCTTGTTCTGCACTCTGCCCAAGTTCTGCCCCAGCAGGGTTATCAGGGGTGACAGGTGGCCCCCCCGGAGCGCCTGGGCCAGAGGGTGCTGGTGGGGGCCCTGATGGATGATGGTCAACCCTAAGGTGAGGGGTCAGGATCCATTTGGCCCCGATGGTGCACACAAGTAGTGCAGATACACACACACGCACACACACACACACACGGACATGGACATGTAAAATGCAGAAAATCTACAATACACAATAAAGTCCTAGAAAGACAAGCCACAAATAAATGGCTTCCTGCTCTGTGGGCCGCTCCCAGATCACAGGACGGCCTCTCCACTCACGGATCCCTGTGTGGAGCCAGGACCCTGGGCCTGCTGAGGACGAAACACTTGCTGGCTGGGGTGGGGGTGGGGGGTCCCAGCCCTCCTTATAGTGAGGGGAGGGGCAGCTGTGGAGAACTGCCCACCGCTGGCTGGCCCCTCTGAAGGGTGCGATCCCACGTTGCTCTTTTCTGGGAAGACACGAGGTCTTTGGATCGAGATGCCTGTGACCTGCAGGTGGGCTCTGGGCTGGGCAAGGGCAGTGGAAGCCGAGGGAGGGTTCCCAGCAGGGGAGGGTGTGCAAGTCCGCAGTACCAGTGGGCGTCCACCCTATCCTGGGACAGTGACGGTGGCTGGTGGCAGGGGCAAGAAGTGAGCTAGACTTGGGGGAGACGCAGGTGCTGAGGCGGCCAGCAGAGCCCTGAGGCGGGTGTGTGCATGCACGGTGTCGCCTGGCCCTCGTGCGACTGGCCAGCGCCCGGATCCTCTGGCAATGCTGCTGGGAAGTGCTGGTGCGGCCAAAAGGACCAGCACCTCGGCCTGGCCCGCCTCCAACCCCCAGCCCACTCTGGGAACTGGTGTTGGAAGGTGAGGCCGCCCAGGGTCAGCCAACAGGGCTGCAGCCAGCGGCTCACACTGGGAGTCCTGAGCTGCTTTCAGGCGGTGACCTTGGGCCGAGGTCGGCACCAGGTGGGGTTGGATGACAGATGCTTGTGAGTTCAGGACAAGAGGCACAGGAGGGTGAGCACCAGGGCATCAAGTCCAGACCAGGACAATGGAAACTTGGTCTGGCCCAGGTCCTGACCTCGGCCGTGGCAGCTGTCAAGGTGGGTACCTGGTGGAGGTAGACAGCAGTTGGGTTTGGAGAGCAGCCAGCATAACACGAGGTAGGTGGAGAACAGGGGCGGGCATTCACGCATGGGGAAAAGTGGAGGCCCAGGGTCACAGAGGTGGGCACCAACGATGAGAAGGGCGCGCCGCCCCTGCCCTCGGAACGCCGGGCGCCGCATTCCGGGCGCCGCCGCTCTATGCGGGGTTCCCGAGGGGCGGGCTCCCACGTGCGTGCCGGGAAGCCGGGAGGGCGTGACGCACACGCCACACACGGGCGTGTAACCCCGCGGCGCGGTGGGCGGGGGCTGCTTCCCGGACCTTGCGCTCTCCCCGGGCCCACTCGCCCTGTTGGGCGCTCGCGCTCGTCTCCGGGAACGGCGGGAGAAAGACGCGTGTCGCTGTGTGGGCCGGCCCGGACCAGCGACCTCCCCGGCACGGACGCAAGAGGCGGAGCGAGGGCGTCCCCGGAATCCCCGCCCACTCGCGCCGTGCCCCGCCATTGGCCGTGGCCGCGGAGTCCTTTGAAAGCCCGCCTCCGATTGGTTCCCGCTGGCAGGAGGACCTGCGCGTGCGCAATGTGTGAGGGCGCGGGCCGGGCTGAAACTGGTTGCGACGACGCTGTGCGCCTCCGCGACTCTTACTACAGAAAACGAGTCCCGGCTCTCACCACCCGCCTGCCTCCCGTCGCCGGCGCTCGCTGGCCCCGGGGCACGCGCGCGCCTGGTCTAGCCTCTTGGTCTCCTCGGTGGCCGTGGCGTTCCCGGGGGCGCTGCCGGCGCGCGGCCCGGCAGAAGGGGGTGGGGTCTCGTCCGCTCCGCCCCCGCGGAGGGATACGCGCCACCGCGGCCCAAAACCCCCAGGCGAGGGGGCGCCGGCGTGTAAGCGGTCGGTGCGGCGCGGCCTGCGCGTGTCTCTGCCACGCTGCGAGGATCCGTGCGGCCTCCGCCCGCCGCCACCGAGAGCCCGACGGTCCCGGATCGCAGGCCAGAGCTCCGCGGGCAGGCGCCCAGACACTCCGCCGCCCACTGGAGCCGCGCCGCCAGCTGTGCGCCGCACGGCTCGTAGGCGCCGCGCGGTCCCCGGGAGGCCGCTCTCCCGCGGTCGCGGCCGGGGCGGGGAGCGGGCCGGGGCAGCAGGCGGCAGAGCTCGGAGGCCGAGGGCCCGCGCCCCCCCCCCCCGCGATGCTGCTCTCCAAGTTCGGCTCCCTGGCGCACCTCTGCGGGCCTGGCGGCGTGGACCATCTCCCGGTGAAGATTTTGCAGCCAGGTACGCCGCCGGGACCGGAACAGGGCGGGCACCGGCAGGCGGACAGGCGGGCGCGCCCCGTGTCGTCGCCAACCCCGCCCCGCGTGTTTTACAGCCAAGGCGGACAAGGAGAGCTTCGAGAAAGTGTATCAGGTGGGCGCCATGCTGGGCAGCGGCGGCTTCGGCACAGTCTACGCGGGCAGCCGCCTCGCCGACGGGCTCCCGGTGAGTCGGGCCGCCGGGCAGGTTACGCGCCGGCTCCGCGCGCGCCACCCGCGCCGACCTGCCTGACCTGCTTGCGTCCCCTTCCTCAGGTCGCCGTGAAGCACGTGGTGAAGGAGCGAGTGACTGAGTGGGGCACCTTGGTGAGTGCGGGGTTAGGGGCGCGGGGGTGGCATTGTTTACATCCGGATGCGCGGCTTTGTGCGCTGACGCCAGTTCCCGTAGGGCGGCGCGGTCGTGCCTCTTGAGGTGGTGCTGCTGCGCAAGGTGGGCGCGGCGGGCGGCGCGCGCGGCGTCATCCGCCTGCTGGACTGGTTCGAGCGGCCCGACGGCTTCCTGCTGGTGCTCGAACGGCCCGAGCCGGCGCAGGACCTCTTCGACTTCATCACGGAGCGCGGCGCGCTCGACGAGCCGCTGGCGCGGCGCTTCTTCGCGCAAGTGCTAGCCGCCGTGTGCCACTGCCACGGCTGTGGGGTTGTGCACCGCGACATCAAGGACGAGAACCTGCTTGTGGACCTGCGCTCGGGCGAACTGAAGCTCATCGACTTCGGCTCGGGGGCGCTGCTTAAGGACACTGTCTACACCGATTTCGACGGTGAGCGCGGGCGGGCGCCAACGTTCCCGGGCCGGCGGGTTAACGTCCGCGGCGGGGGGGTGCAGAGGGGACGCCCGGCGACTGCTGGGGAGGCCGCGCGCCTTCGCCATGCTCGCTGGTGGGGGAGGTGGGGGGCTGTGCGAATGAGTGATTATAAGCCGGTTCGTGACGGGTGGGGGCGCGGGAAGAGCTCCAGATTGCCTCCCCGCCTTTGTTGGGGCGCGTGGGATGTACCAAGGCCGTTCGTTCTCGGGTTGGGGGCGGCGGCCTGCGTGACGCAGCTGGTGGCCGTGAGCGTGTGTGTGGGCGCAGGTGATTCCGCGCGTCTGCGCTGGAGGCGCTGGGAGCCCCCGCGGGTGTGGAGCAGGCGCGGCCGGGCGTCCCCTGCTTGGAGGCGGCGCTGCGTGCGTGCTGAGCGCGGGGGCGCCGCGGCAGAGATCCCCGCATTGCGGAGCTCGGGGAAGCCCGGCCTCCCCGCCCGCCTCCCGCCTCTCCTTCCCGCAGCCGCTGGGTGGGGGTGAGAGGCCCACGGCAAGACGGCCCCCTCCTCGCTGCCGCCGCACCGCCTTGTTCAGTCTTCTGTATTCTCGTTTTACATCTGTTTGTTGTGAAACCCGAGTCTGCGCTCATGTGACCCGGCTTCTCCCTCACTGGGCCAGCAGGGGGGGCGGGGGCCAGCTGGGGGAGGCGGAGCCCCGCCCCGTGCCTCCCCCCGACGGGCAGCGCCTGCTCGCCCACTGGGGTTTTTCCAGGCTGATGACAAGCGGGAGTTTGAGTTGGCTCTGTCCGCCGCGTCCCTGTGTGGCTCAGGGCTGGGAGAGAGCTTAGTTGGCTCCCTTTGTAGAGGGGGGCTGATAGCCTGATCTGTCTGTACTCTCCTTAGGCACCAGGGTGTACAGCCCTCCCGAGTGGATTCGCTACCATCGCTACCATGGGCGCTCGGCCACCGTGTGGTCCTTGGGTGTTCTGCTGTATGATATGGTGTGCGGCGACATCCCATTCGAGCAGGACGAGGAGATCCTGCGTGGTCGTCTCTTCTTCCGGAGGAGGGTCTCCCCAGGTGTGTGGGCAGGGACCTTCTGGGGGCTGGGCTCCTGGGGGGGCGGGCCTGACTGCCTGTGCTGATCCTTCTTCTCCCCTAGAGTGCCAGCAGCTGATCGAGTGGTGTCTGTCCTTGCGGCCTTCGGAGCGTCCCACCCTGGACCAGATCAGCACCCATCCCTGGATGCTGGGGGCCGACAGTGCCCTGGAGAGCTGTGATCTGCAGCTATGTGTGCTGGACCCTGACGACGGGGCCAGCACCACCTCCAGCAGCGAGAGCTTGTGAGGGGCAGCGTGCCAGCCGGCCTTGGGGGGAGTCAGAGGGACTGCTTGGCCCTGCTGGCTGCTCCAGAAACATGTCCTTGGCCCAGCCGCCTCTTTGCCGGAAGCAGTGACTGACCTCTGGTGGCCTCTGCCTCTGGCACCGGGCCTCAGTTTCTTTTGCTTTGAGTGCCTTTTCGAACGCTGCTTCCACGGGACTTGGTTTCTCTGGCTCTGCCTGTCCAAAGAGGCTCCCTCAATCGAGGCTTTGCTGCCCCGGGGAGGGCGGTGCCCAGGGTCTCTGGGTGATGCTCAAACCTGAGACTAAGACAAGCCACGTCCTTCTGCTGTTGTAGGAGGTGGCCGGCCGATGCCTCCCGTGCCCTCTCATCCCACCCTGTCTGGACCAGGAGCACTTTGTGTGTGGCACAGAACCCTGTGCCCTGTCTTTTTTGTCCCCTGAGTCTCATGGTGTTTGTCTGGGCACGTTCCTGCACAAACAATGCAACGTCTTTGATTGCCGCCTGCCTGCACGGCGGTCACACGGCAGGACAGTCTTATTTATGGTGTGACCTCTTGGCGGTGCCCCGCGCCTATTTATTGGTTTAATTTATTTGTTGAGGTGGTTCTTTCTGAGCAGTCCTGCTTTTTCGGGTCCCTGGGGCATCAGGGAGGGGGATGGCACAGGGTCCAGACCCCAGGTCTTGACCCCATGCCTGGTGTCTGTAGTCTGTGCCATGTGTGTGTGTCGAAAGATGAACTTGTACAGTGGCTAATTTAAGGGGGGGGTGATGCCACCATCTGGGGCTCTGGGTGGCGGGTTTTAAATTATTGACCTTGTACAGTCTGCTTGTTGGCTCTGGGAGCTGGGGGGTGGGGGGACAGAGTCACAAGCCTTTAATTTATTCAGCAGCTGTGTTCTGTGACCCCGGTGTGTGTAGGCATCGTGGGTGGGGTTTCATTCAGTTCAAAAGTGAGATGTACGGAGATCATATTTTTTATACAGGCATTTCAATTAAATTTTTTTGTATATAACAGGCAGTTTGTGCTTTTTGGGGCTGGGGGCCTGGGCGAGAGAGGGAGATTCTGGTGGGGGAGGGGGGGCTTGGGTCTTCATCGGAAAGGGGAGCAGCATTGCCCAGTGGGGGGCATGAAGAAGGGGCCCAGATTGTCCCCTGGCCCCCCAACGCCACAGGTACCCTGTGTAGCTGACCTGTTCTTGGTTCCTAGCTGTACCCAGAAGAGAGGGAAGGCCTGGTCCCCAGGGTCTGTGCTGCCACCATTAATTGGGCGGGGCTAAGGGTAGCCCCCCTCGAGGGGTACCCATTCAATGTGGGAGATGTGTTCCCATGCTCAGGTGTACTTGGTCTCTGCTCCAGGTTGACTGGGAGGGTGGGGTGGGCAGGGCCATGGCTGGCAGTGGGGGACAGGTCTGGGGGAGGGGAGGGGCAGGTGGCAAGGGCATCTAGGTGGAGGAGGAGCCGGAGGATGGGCAGTGCTCTGGCGGGCTTTGGCAGGAGAGAGGGTGTTCAGGAGAGAACAATTCTTGGGGTGGCAGAGCCAGGCTGGAGGACAGGCAGGGTGGCTCTTACCCCACCTGGGTCACGAGGGGGAAGGGGAACACCAAGGGCAGAGAAAGCCGACCCAGGGGAGCAGCGTGGCCAACCACGCCCTTCAGCCCTGTTCAGCCTGTGACTTGCATGGGGTCTGGGGCACCCCAGTAGCACCCCTTCCTCTTTTCCATCTCAGGGGCCACAGGGCACTGTTGTCTGCCCTGGGCTGGATGCTGGGCGCATCCCACTGCCAGCACTATGAGCAGAGCCTTACTCCAGCACCCCACTGGTGAGCCCACATGTCAGCGAGCTCCTGAGGGCAGGCCAGGGCGGCCGAGGCCCATGTGAAGGGGCGGTTCCCAGGACCCCAGCTGTGGGCGTGGGTCCCATTGGTGTTTCACCGGCCTCCCAGCCCAGAGAAGTGTGTGCTAAAGGTGGCGGTGGGGGAGGACTCTGGGCGTCACCCCGAACTACACAGGAGGAGGAGGGGGCTATTGTGCGGAGCAGCTCTGGGTCCCCCCTTGGGGTTCCCTCGGCAGACTCCCAGGAGGGCCAAGGATGTGGGCGTGCGGGCTTTCCTGGCCCCGGGGCCACCTGGGCTACAGTGAGATTTCAGAGGTTTGAGAGGAATCCCCGTGGGCTCAATCCCAGGTCCCGGAGACGGGCAGAATTCCAGATCCCTGGCTGCGAGGCCCAAATGGTGCTTGGAAAGTTGGGAATACGCGCCCTCCCCTCCCCAACCCTGCCTGCCAGACACCGATAGGCGCTCAAGCTGGGGGTGCTTGGAGGAGAGGAGCTGGGGGCCTCTCCCCTCCCCCGGGGCCCTATGGTTCTGGCTTCTTTCTGGGGAGGAAGGGGCGCAGAGCCTACTCCAGGTTCTGAGGTCTTGGTGGACCAGGCTGGGCGTTCTGGCCGTGAGAATCCTGAGGTCAGGTTCTGATCCTGGGCTGAACCCTGAGTACAGTGTGAACGACCAAACCACCGTGTGAGCGTGCTCTCCTGACCTCCCTGCAGATCTCTGCTGGGTCTCATCCCTGCTCTGCCCTCTGCGCCATTGACGTTTACGGGCCTGCGGGGTGAGCTGTTCAGCCGCGGCTGCTGCGTTGTTTACGGGGCTCCCCAAGGGCGGCCCCAAGGTCAGGGGCTGGCTGGACGGGGCTGACCCTGTATCTTCCCTGGTGCCTACAGCAGTGGGGAGCTGTGTCCCGAGGCCACCTCCCTGGCCTGAGGCCAGTCGGACCTCCTGGAAGAGAGAGGCTGGAAAATTGCTTTTTCCCCCCAAATTGACCTTCTGTGGAACCAAGCCCCCCCTAAGTTTCTTTCCTCTGCTGCAGCCCCAGAAACGAAACCTTAGCCCGTTTTGGTGCCAAACCTGAGAGAAAGGGAAGCGATTCCTGGCTGTGGGTCTGACCCGCCTCTCGCCTCCGCGCCACCCAGACCCCAGCTGCCCAGGGCCTTGTGCTTACTCTATGAGCGCGCTGGCCCTGGACAGCATGTGGCTGTCCCTGCCTGGCCGTGGTGGGGGGATATCCCGTCAGCCCCCTGGGTGGGCAGTGTGGTGTGGACACAGCAGGGGCTGAGCGGCAGGCAGCTCAGCCGTTCAACCCAGGTGAGTAGGGGGACAGGCCAGGCCGCCCACTGGCCGGGGCCTCGAGTTGTGTGTCACTGACCCACACGGCCACGGTACCTGGTAGGGGGGACGCCCACATCTGTCTGCACGCCAGTGCCACACAGGACCCCAGGAGGAGCAGGAGTCGGGGAGAAAGCCAGTCAGGGCTGGACACGCCAGCTGAGGCGGCCTAGGGCCGTGGGCAGGGGAGCAGGTCAGGCAGAGCGCCGCAGAGGGGTGCCGAGGGCCTCGTGGGGGCAGCGCATCGGTGCAGCCAAGCCTGCTGTCCCTGGCAGGTGGCAGGGAGCAAGGGCGGAGGGACAGAGGAAACCCAGCGAGCTGCCTTCCCCTGACCCCTGACCCCTGACCCCCGGTGGCGGAGGATTCGGAGGGGAGTGGTCAGCCATCCACCAGCACGTGACTTCCAGGCCGGCAGCTCTGCAGGCAGCCTTGGCAGAACCCCGAGTGTGATTACACAATGGCTCTCCAGTCCTGGCCCCCTCCGGGGTTCCCGGCAGTCAGGCCTGGCCGAGGAAGAGGGGGGCAGAGCCCTCGGCAGGCAGCTCCCGCCCTCAGCGTGTTCTCCTCCCGAAGGCCTTGCAGGAGAGCCCCTCCCAGAAGCCGGCCAGTGGGGTAGGGTGGGGGACCTTTCCCTGAGGGTGGCTCACCTGTATCAACCCTGAATGAGCCTGTGGGGAAACTGAGGTTCAGGGTCAGAACACACTCAGGGCTGTATGTAGTGAGTGGGCCCAGACAGCACCCTACCAGGGCCTCCTCCCACCCAGCGGGGCAGCGGGCACAGCATGAGTCCCCGAGCTCCGACCGGCACCTCTGCCACTCCAGCCACCCACCTCCTCCACCAACAGCGGGTGGGACCAGCTGGGGAGCCGAGGTGCCAGGGTGCAGTGCCACTGTGGGTCCCCCAGGCCTAGCAGGCACTCTGCTGGGTCAGGGTATGCAGGTTCCATCTCTGAGCCTGGGGCTCAGGTCTGAGGTGCACAGGTGACCCCACCAGCCTGGAGGAGGGGGAGGGTTGCGCTGGGAGGCAGGTGGCCCCCCAGGGCCCTCCAAGCTTCCCTGCCCCACCTGAGGCCAGATCCAGTGCTGGGACAGGCTCGACCTCTCTGCTATGTTGCTTGGGGTCAGAGACTCCTACCCTACTGGTCACCCCAGCAGGGAGGAGAGGTGAGGTGCTGGTGCCAGAGGGGTTGAGCAGACCCCGCCCAGAGGCCTGTGGGGATACGGCTGGGGCCCAAGCATGGGAAGGCCTGTGGGGTCTGCTCCAGTTTGTAGAGGCCCTGGGTCCCGGGACACCAGTGACCGGCAGGGCCAGGGAGGCTCCACCTGCTGGGCCAGCCCAGGAAGGGTCTGTCTTGAACCCGGCCCTTCTGGGCCCCACTCCCCCCTCCAGTGAGGGGTGCAGAGAGGGCAAGGGACCTGGAGATACATGGAGGGGGTCAGGCCCCCCATGACCCTCAGGTCCCACCGAGGTACCCCATTCTAGGCAGCAGACATGAAGGGGCACCCCACAGAGCACCCCAGAGAGGGTCCCCACCCCACCCTATGGAGCACCCCGGAGGGGGTCCCATCCCACCCTATGGAGCACCCCAGAGAGGGTCCCCACCCCACCCTATGGAGCACCCCGGAGGGGGTCCCATCCCACCCTATGGAGCACCCCAGAGAGGGTCCCCACCCCACCCTATGGAGCACCCCGGAGGGGTTCCCATCCCACCCTATGGAGCACCCCGGAGGGGGTCCCCACCCCACCCTATGGAGCACCCTGGAGGGGGTCCCCACCACAAGGTTCCTGGCCCTTTCCCTGCCCACCTTGCCCTCCCTGCCAGTTCAAAGGGTCCCTTCACTCAGAAAACACCCAGACAGTCCCGACCTGGGGGCCTGCCCCCGGCTGAGGGCCAGTAACCAACCCGTAAGTTGGCACGACAATTTCCAGATGTGATCTACAGACTAAGGATAGGTCTAGTGTCGCTGCTGCCATTCTGAAGAGCGGGCTACTGAGCGGAGGCAGGGGATGCGTGAGGGGGCCCCCGGCAGAGGGACCAGAGCCTGCACAGGCACCCCAGGGCAGACGTGGGAGGGTGCAGAGGCCGTGCACACACACCCCTGGCTTCCTGCTGAGGGGAGGGAGGTGGGTGCCGCCCAGGCATCAGCCCTCACTGTCTCCAGCTGGGCGACGTGGCTCGTGACTGCCGAGGCCCCAGCACCCTGGCAGGCCCTGCGTCCTCACAGGCCAGAGCAGTTGTGGGGCCCACAGGAGGTTCCAAGAGCTGAGGTGACCTGTAGCCGGCCCTGGAGCATCCCAGAGTCCCATCTCCTTCCCAGCCCAGGCCTCTCATTGACCACCTCTGTCTCCCCGCTAAAACGGCTGGGCAGATCGTCGGGCCACAGATGGATGTGTGTGTTCATGCATGTGTGCCTGTGTGAATCTGTGTGATTGCATCTGTGTATGTGTGAGTGTGTGCATACAGGCATGTGTGCCTGTGTGAATCTGTGTGATTGCATCTGTG